GATACATGTCCTCAGTAAGTACAGAAAGTTACTATTTGAGGCCAGCGATGGGTTTTACCCTTTCATTTCCTCATTGCTGTTTCCTGTCTCAACCACATGCCATCTGAAATACAAGTTTGCTTTTTTTCTCACATCAGTCTTCTCCGTGAGGACAGTGGCTGATCTTTTCTGTTCCACGGCCTCTGTAAAACAGGTTGTAAGGCAGGGCTTGGGTTGGAGCTCTTGTAGAGCACGTAGGACCCTGAGGTCCATCCTCCAACCGCCACTACCATCACATCACTAACAGCTTCAGTAACTGCTGTCAGCTGGCTAGATCGAGTAGGAATCACATGATTGAGAGCAACGCTTTTTCTCTAAACAGAAGGGAGGAAGGAATCTAAGGGTTTGTAATGACCATTTTATTTTATTTGAGACCGGGTCTCACTGTATAGTCCTGGCTAGCCTAGAACTCAGAGTGATCCACTTGGGTCTCCCAAGTGCTGGGATTAAATGTATGCACAACCATGCTTAGACTTCACTGAGAGTGTCTTAGAGTATTAGTGCTGTTTATAAACACATGGGCCGTACTGTTAAAGTTCTGTGTTTGATGCCTATCCTCCTTACTTTAGGTGAAGATGCTGAAGGAGAAGATAGAAGCTGAGAAGGGAAGAGATGCTTTCCCTGTGGCTGGACAAAAACTCATCTATGCTGGCAAAATCTTGAGTGACGATGTCCCCATTAAGGAATACCATATAGATGAGAAGAACTTTGTGGTTGTCATGGTGACCAAGGTGGGTAGATTAGCAGGGATGATGGCAAAGAGCTTGTGTGCCTTGGAGAGATTAGCTGTAGGCAGGGTGGGGCTATGATGCAGCAGGGTGTTAAGGCTTGATAAAGATGCTATTGCCTGATCCCTTTTTCTTGCTGTCACAGGCCAAGGCTGGCCAGGGTACCCCAGCACCCCCAGAGGCCTCACCCACCGCTGCCCCGGAATCCTCCACACCCTTTCCTCCAGCCCCGGCATCAAGCATGTCCCACCCTCCACCTACCAGCAGAGAGGACAAGAGTCCAACAGAGGAGCCGGTCACCACAGCATCTCTAGAATCCATTTCTGGGTAAGGAAGTAGCTTTTGACCTGTGCCCTGTCTTCCTGCACCTTCTAGTACCCACCTGTGTGGTTCCATGCACTTGCCTTTCGGGGAGGGCGAGCCACCAGAAGCCAGGGTCCGATTTCTCTCTCTTGAATTTGCAGCTCTGTTCCCTCTTCAGGTAGCAGCGGGCGAGAGGAAGACGCAGCTTCCACATTAGGTGGGTGGGTGGACCTCAGGGCAGAGGCGACTGGGAGCCCCAGCCACCAGCCTTTGACAGCCTTGTCTGGGTATGGGAGGGTCTGGGAACTGCCCTTGTGTGCCCCTGGTGACCCAGGCCCTCCCTCCACAGTGACTGGCTCTGAGTATGAGACGATGCTGACTGAGATCATGTCCATGGGCTACGAGCGGGAACGGGTTGTGGCCGCCTTGAGGGCCAGCTACAACAACCCCCACCGAGCTGTGGAGTACTTGCTCACGGTGAGGGGGCTACCACTGCCTCCTGGGAGGCTCCAGGTCTCTGTGCCTCAACAGGCAGTGGAGGTGGAACCTACCCTATAGGCTCTTGGGTATTGAGTGTTGCCATTGAAGGCTTCACAAGAGAACATGGAGGGCAGGAATGAGGCCTCCCCTTCTGTCAGGCTGGTCACTTGAGAGAGGGGAAGTGGGTCTGTTTGCAAGAACTAAAAAACAGGATCCCTGACAGGGAATTCCAGGAAGCCCTGAGCCTGAACATGCTTCTGTCCAGGAGAGCCAGGTACCTGAGCAGCCGGCCACAGAAGCAGGTGAGCAGGTTGGATGGTGTGCACGTGACGCCGTTAGTCCAGACTCAGGCGCCCCTGTATGGTGTCTGACCACACCTCTTCCTGCCACTAGCAGGGGAGAACCCCCTGGAGTTCCTGCGGGACCAGCCCCAGTTCCAGAACATGCGGCAAGTGATTCAGCAGAACCCAGCACTGCTCCCTGCGCTGCTCCAGCAGCTGGGCCAGGAGAACCCTCAGCTCTTGCAGGTGCGGCCCAGGGTGAGGGAACTGAGATGCCTTTTCTACTTTCTTAAGGAATCCCCCTGAGAAAGCAGAACTAGCAGAGGCCAAGTCCCTTGCTCCCTCGGGACCCATAAGGTTACCTGTAATCTGACTCCCCGTGAGGTCTGGATGCTGTTGGCACACACCATGCTGAAGACATGAGAGGCCCAGAGCAGGCTGCCATTTGTATGTCTGGGTCCTTGACTCTGGCTCCAGCATTCTTCTGAGCTATTGCTCTATCTGCAGCTCCTCTTCCTGCTTCTCAGTCCCAGCCTTCTTCTTGATCTGACCTTCACCTTGACCCTCTCTGTGGTGACCTAAATCTGTGTCATCACACCAGAACCCTTGGAGCACTCTCAGAGCTATGAAAGGACTTCTTGGACCTCAGCTTTCAGGCCCATTCTGCTTTGGTTCCTTGAGTCTCTGACAACCTCCTAGGGACTATCTCTGCTTATACCTCAATGGCCACTTCTCCCACCCAGTATCCTGGCATCTTCCTCTCAGGCTAATGCTCTATACAGTGCCCCTGGTGAACTGCCCCAGAGGCTAGATTTCGGAAAAGGCCCTTTCTAATGGGAAGCTTCTCCGATGCCTGTGGAAGCAAAGGGTTACATCAGAACCTCTGGATCTCCCAGTACTGTGTTGAATAGGTACAGGGGCCGGGTTGGTAGTGCACACATTTAAGCCCAGCACTTAGGAGGCTGAGGCAGGACGATTACAGAACTTGAAGCCAGCTCCTTCCAGGAGTGAGATCATCTCAAAAAAGAAAGAAGGTAAAGGTTGTGCAGGCTGGGAGCCTCACCTGTGCTTAGCAGCTTCACTTGCAGCATGACAAAAGAAGTGCCCAAGCTCTGCTGCCCTGTTGGCCACTGCAGCTTCCCACTGCTACAGGAGAAGGTCCTTCCTGGCATTTCTCTGCTGCTTTTGCCACAAAGCTCTCCTGGACTGGCCCGGTAGGTCATCCCAGAGCACTCATGTGGTGCTTGTTTTAGCCAGAGGAAACCTCCCCACTTCCTGCTACAGATAGCAGGCCCCTCCCACAAGGCCTCAGTGACTTGGTATGAACTTTTTTTTTTCCCTTTAGTCTCAGTATGTAGGTTAGGCTGGCTGAAAACTCACGGTGATCCTTCTGCTTCAACCTCCCAAGTGCTGGAGTTCTGGTATGAGCAGCCTGCCTCGCTTTGGTAGTTCCTTACTTTTTGTTTATGGAGACATTGTCTCACCACGTGGACCCGCCTGCCTCTGCCTTCTCAGTGCTGGGATTAAAGGTGTTCGCTACCATGCCCGTCTCTCCACCTTGGCACCTCAGCCCTACCTGGATAGCTTATTTCCATGGCTACATGACTGTGTGGCCAAGGCAGGCACCTTCAGAGCATTTGACAATTTGAGGTTAAGCAAGGGCTGTAAAATGGGACCCAGGCAGGTGACAAGGACTATGAATTGTCATCATTCTCTTTCTTCTCACAGCAAATTAGCCGTCACCAGGAGCAGTTCATCCAGATGTTGAATGAGCCTCCCGGGGAGCTGGCTGACATCTCTGATGTGGAGGGGGAGGTTGGTGCCATAGGTGAGGAGGCCCCGCAGATGAACTATATCCAGGTGACACCACAGGAGAAGGAAGCTATAGAAAGGGTAAGAGGCCTGGCCGAGGAGCCATCTCGGTGGGTAGCCCTACACCTCTCCCCTTCTTACCCCTGCCCATCTTCCCACAGCTGAAGGCACTGGGCTTTCCAGAGAGCCTGGTCATCCAGGCCTACTTCGCGTGTGAAAAAAATGAGAACTTGGCTGCCAACTTCCTCCTGAGTCAGAACTTTGATGACGAATGATGGTGGGAGGCAAAAAGGCCCCCAACCCACTCAACAAAAGTTTTATAAAAGAAAAAGTATATATATATATACACACATATATATATTCATGTTTATTTAAGAGGAAGAAAAAATCAAACCATTAAAAAAAAAAAAAAAAAAAAAAACACTCTGCCCAGCTTCCCACCCTCCTGAAGTGGCCCTTATTCCCATCTCAGTCCAACAAGACCCGGGCCAGACAGCTGTCCCCATCCTCTTAACAGCCCAGCCTGCTCAAAGTTGCTGGCAAGACCAGGAGGCGACAGATGGGCCCCTCTTGGCCTCTGTCCCAGCTCCCTGCCGCCAGATGGAGAGGCGCCTGCCTGCTTCTCTATCCCCTGAAGCATCCCCAAGGACAACCCTCCTCCCTTCTCTGTGAGGGGAAGCTGGAGCCCTAAACTTTTATCCTCCATTGGAGTGGCCCCAATCTTTCCATCTGGAGTAAGTCTGTTAGAAGCCGAAGGCCCTCTCCCCATTCTGGCCTTGGCCTCCAGCCTGGAAAAGAGGTAACATCAGTTCTGAAGGCCAAGGCCACCCCTGCCCCAGGACAGAACCACATCTCTGATAAAGGTTTTGAAGTGAATAAAGTTTTAAAAAATGAGCCCTAATAATGGTGCATGCCTACTGGAGCTTCTCACACCAGCTGGTGAGTCTGAGCCAGCAGGGGCACAGGTGACACGGGCCTACAGAGAAGTGCGGAAGGGGCCTATGAGCCTCACAGACGGGGGCCCCTGCATCTCCTCCCTCTGGAAAGTTGGGCCCCTGCCTCAGCTCAGCCCTAGAAGGGCTGCTGCTCCCTCTATCGTGCAGTCTGTTTGGCTGTACTCCCCCCTGGTAATTGGCTAATTACTGGAGATTAATGTTGGTAAACAGAAGCCTCCTCCTCTACCGCCATCTGCTCCTTCATTATTTGCCCATCCAGTCCCCTTTCTCTCTCCCTAAAGCCCTAGTTCATGGCATGGCCTAGTGTCCAGGTGTGAATATAACCCAGTAGAGGATTTTCCCACTCCAGGTGTTGGGGAACGAGCCAGGGGGCCCAGGAAGTCACAACTTGAGGGAGAATGTTCTAGAACAGGGGCTGTCAGCAGCTGGCTTTATTGGGAAAGGAGCTTTCAGGAGCTGGGTTCATCAGATGCTGGGTCCTGGGCTTCAGCAGAGGCCACAGCAGCAAGCCGTGCTTCCTTCCTCTGCCGCTGTTTCTCATCCTTGAGGCGCTTTCGCTGCTGCTTGTCTAGGTCCTGTAACAGTTCCTGGAAGCGGGCACTCCTGGGGTCCACGTGGTAGCCCAAGCGTTCCTGGGCCTCGGCCTGTAACCGGGCCCTCCGCTCCTTGTCAGCCTGAATTTTCTCCCAGCGTTCTCGCTTCTGCTTTCTCCAGTTCGCAATCATCTGTGGCATCTTGGCCATGCACTCTGAGATGTGCTGCTCCCTGCAGAGGGAAGCAGTCAGTAAATGGCAGACCAAGGTAACCCTGAACTTTAACCCAGGTGTCTACTAAACCTTCCTCATGCCCTTGTCATGGATGCCTTCCTTGACTTCACGTGTTGGGATGCCAGGTCCAGATTCAGCCACAGGAGCAACTGGATTTACACCACCCTCCTCCCCAGCCCTGTGAATCTGTAGGTACACTCATAGGATTAGGACAGTAAAATGGAAAGAACAAGTCTCATGGCAGAACAGGACCATTCAGCTAGATGGAACAGAATGGGGAGCCAGCGTGACTAGATATCTGACCGGCTTCTTCAGGCCTAAATTTCACCTTAAAAAGGGTCTTTTTCTCTGTGTAGCCTTGGCTATCCTGGACTCACTCACTTTGTAGACCAGGCTGACCTCCAACTCACAGAGACCTACCTGCCTCTGTCTCTCTGGGATTACCAGAGTACTGGTATTACAGGCATGTGTAACTGCGCCTGGCCTAGACTTCTTTTTATTTATTTATTTTAATAGCAACAGGCTCTCACTATGTAGACTGGGCTGGCTGTTCTCATAACAGTGATCACTTGCCTCTGTCTCCAAATGGCTAGGATTAAAGATGTACTCTACCACAACCAGCTTATGATAAAAGGGTCTCACAGAGCACCTGGGCTGTCCTCAAACTCAGAATCCCACCCCCTGCCTCTGAACCAAGTCTTCTCCCAAGTTACAGCCTTGTACCACTAGGCTTGGGCTCAACCTCTGGGCCTTTGCACCACTTGCTCCCTCTACTGGAAACTCTCCCTGAGTTGTTTTTTGTTTTGTTTTTAATAAATTTTTAAATTTTTATGTGTTGCCTGAAATGTGTGTCCGTGTGACAGTGTCAGATCTTGGAGTTACAGACAGTTGTGAGCACCATGTGGGTGCTGGGAATCGAACCCAGGTCCTTCTGAAAGAGCAGTCAGTGCTCTTAACCGTTGAAGCATCTTTCAAGCACTGAGAGTTTTCCAGTAACAGTATCTGGTTATATGGGGATTTGCTTAAACATCACAAGAGCTGGCAAACTGATTTACCCTCCAACATGCCCTTTTTGTTTTATTCAAAACAGTTTCTCTATGTAGCCTTGACTGCCCTGGACTTCCTTTGTAGACCAGGCTGGCCTCGAACTCACAGCGGTACACCTGCCTCTTCCATAGTGCTGGGAATACAGATGCACTCTTAACTGTGTTCTGTCTCCCCAAGGGTCTGTGGTCATCATCTGAAACTGTTTTGTTGTTCCCTGCTGTGTGGATCTTTAGATCCTTGCACTGAGTGCTCAGTAAAGATATATCTTGGGCCTGCTACAGGCTTGTAATATCAGATATTCGGAAGGTAAAGACGTATGTATGGATCCTAGATTCAAGGACAGCCTGGGCAACAGAATGAGTTCTGGTTCATTGAGGCCTTGTTTAAAAATAAAGAAGGGTAGGCTACTGATTCAGCTCAGTGTTAAAGGAAAAGTAAAAACAACACAAGAACTGCAACTGAGTGACTACAAGAATTTACCTAGAAGTTAACCTTACGACACAAGGGCCCCAATGCCTCCAACGGAGGATTCATGGTTTCGGGGCCTTTGGGTACCTGACCCGACACACGCACCTGGCTCGACGCTTTGCCTCCTCGGCCTCCTGCTGCACGCGCAGCGACTCTTGCATAGTCGCTAAGCTCGGGAACCATTCTCGCTCCTCGGCCTCCAACTCGCGCAGCTGCTCTGGGGACGGCCACAGGGAGGCGGGGTCCACCCCGGAGGTGGTGCCGTGCCTCCCGAACTGCTTGGCAGCATAGCGCGGCCCTAACTGCCATCTCGGGGTTAGTAGGTTCTCCGGGTCTGGCCAATGGGGCCCGGGTCGGCGACGCGGGGGCGGCGGCGCATGGTAGCTACGGGACCTGGGACCCAGAGCCACAAAGAACCGCGGGAGGCAGCGCGGCTTCAGCGCGGCTGCCGCCATCTTGGCTGTGGGTCCTTGCGGGCAGCGGGCTGGCTAGAGCGCTGCCTGCGCACCGGAAACACTGGGGCCTCAGGCCAGGGCGCAGGAGGCCGTTGTTTGCCTTGATAATATTATATGGCTGAGCGTGGTGGCTCACGTCTTTAATCCCAGCACTCTGGGTGCAGAGGCAGGAGGATCTCTTTGAGTTCCAGGACTTACAAGGACTACATAGACCAGGTATCCAAGAAAGAAAAAAAAAAAAAAAGAAAAAGAAAAAAATTTTTATATAGTTTACTTACTGGGGGAGGACCGTGCAGGTGATCAAGGGGAGGTCAAAGGACAACTTGGGGAGTAGCAGCGCAGTCGTCCCGCCTGGTGGCAAATGCCTTCACCGGAGTCTTTTCACCTGCCCTCATTTGCCGTTTTTGACAAGGATTATCACTCTGTAGCCAGGTCAACCTGGAACTTCCTACTAACTCCGTGAAATGAGGATGTGCACAACAGATACTACACGAAAGAGGTTTACTGGATGGGGAGTGAGAGCGCGAGCGACATGATGGGGGAGGGAGAGGGCACCCGGACAGAGAAAGGAGAGAGAGCGAGAGAGAGACAGAGGCAGGGGTCCCTTTATAGCTTGTGCGCAGCTGAACCGTGCGTGCAGGGTCAGCGGCACATGAGGACATCTAGGCTACTGGGCAACCCAGAGCAGACTGCCTGAACACTAACACTCAGGATGGCACTGAAGTTGTGGCAGTCCTAGATCAGTCGCCTCAGTCTGGGATGACCCGTAATGAGCCAGTTTTAAATTAAACTTAAAGCTGGCATTTTTAAGATTTATTTATTCACATACCTTACGTATGTGCTCTGTCTTCGTGTGCACAAGAAGAGGTCTTCAGATCACAGATGGTTGTGAGCCACCGTGTGGTTGCTAGGATTGAACCTGGGACCTCTGGAAGAGGTACTCTTAACCACTGAGCCATGTGCTGTACTTCTAGAGGACCAGGGTTCAATTTTCAGCCCCCACACGGCAGCTCACAACTGTCTAACTCCAGTTCCAGAGGATCTTACAACCTCACACACACAGACATGCAGGCAAAACACCAATGCCCATAAAAATTAAAAATAAATTAAAAAAATAAACAAACCTGTCCTGCTAGAGCTGGATGGTGGTGGCACACATCTTTAATCCCAGCGCTAGGGAGACAGAGGCAGGTGGATCTCTGTGAGTTCTAGGCCACCTAGTCTACAAAGTGAGTTCTAGGCCAAGGCTACATAGAGAAACTCTGTTTAAAAAAAAATAAAGAAATAAATAAAATTAAAAAAAGAAAGAGAAAAAACCTGTCATTCTAGTATTAATTAATATATTTAAAATAAAAGTTTAGTTTTGCAATCTTAAAGTTTTAAATATTTTTTATTTTATACTTTATTTCCTCTCACATTTAATTTCTCTAATATATTAAATATTTCCATTTTAATATCTAGGCTTATGTTGCATTTTAAATCTTTTTTAAAAAATAATTTATTTTTATTTCATGTGAATTGGTATGTCTGTGTGAGGCTGTTGGATTTCCTGGAACTGGAGTTATAGACAGTTGTGAGCTGCCACGTGGGTGCTGGGAATTATAGAACCTGCATCTTCTGGAAGAGCAGACAGAGCTCTTAACTGCTGGGTCATCTCTCCAGCCCTTTAAAACTTTTTCTAAGAAGTGGGTGCCAGTGGCGGCCAAAGGAATCCTCTAGAGCTGGGCTTACAGGCAATTGTCAAAGGACTTGGGTACAAGAAACTGAACTCAGTTCCTCTGGAAGACAGAAAGTGCTTTTAACTTTTGAGCCATTCCTCCAGGGTCTTGCATTCTATCTTGTTTTTTTTTTTTTTTTTTTTTTTTTTTTTTTTTTTTTTTTTTTTTTTGTTTTTTTTTTTTTTTTTTGTTTGTTTGTTTTTGTTTTTTGTTTTGTTTTGTCATACTATGTAGTGCTGGCTGGCCTGGAACTCGCTGTGGATTAGGCTGGCCTCCAGCTCACAGAGTCTGCCTGCCTCTGCTTTCCCAGTGCTAAAATTAAAGACTTGAGACCACCATGCCCAGTTTACCCTATATCTTAAACATTTAAGGTCTACTTTATGGGATTTGGCTATGTGACTCAGTTGATATATGCTTGCCTTGTAAGCCCAACGCCCTCAGTTTTATCTCCTATATTGCATAAGCTAAGCATAGTGGTGCATGCCTATAATCCTGACACAGGGGAGGTGGAGGCAAGAGACCAGAAATTCAAGGGGGCACACTCCTTTAATCCTAGCACTTGGGAGGCAGAGGATCTCTGAGTTCGAAGCCAACCTGGTCTACAGATACAGAACAAGTTCCAAGACAGCCAGGGCTACATAGAAAAACCCTCTCTCAAAAAACCAAAAGAGGGAGGTTCTTGGAGAGATGGCTCAGAGGTTAAGAGCCCTGGCTGTTCTTCCAAAGGTCCTGAGTTCAATTCCCAGCAACCACATGATGGCTCACAGCCATCTATAGTGAGATCTGGTGCCCTCTTCTGGTGCACACATGCAGGCACAATGCTGTATAAATAAATATAAAGAGAGGGAGGGGGCTCCTAGTGGTTAAGAGACTGTCTACTCTTCACACTCTTCACAGGAGGTCCTGAGTTCAATTCCCAGCAGCCACACAACCATCTATAATGGTAGATGGGATCTGATGCTCTCTTCTGGCATGGAAGTATTACATGCATAGGTCCTGAGTTTAATTCCCAACCAAATTGTAGCTCACAACCATCTATAATGGGATCACTCTTCTGGTGTGTGGGTGTACATACAGATAGAGCACTCATACTATAAATAAATAGATCTTTAAAAAATAAAAAGTGCAGGAGGGTCAGAAGTTCAAGGTTATCCTTAGTCGTATAGGAACCTTAAGGTCAGGCTGGGCTACATGAGACCCTGTCTTGGGCTACAGAGCTCTATATTTTCCATCTTTCTCTTTCCATTTTTCATTACAGGTCTCATGTAGCTCAGTCTAGGCTTGAGTTCCTTTTCCTGCCTCTACCTCTCAAGTGTTAGGATTACAGGCATGCTTCACTACATCCAGCAAGATCTGCTCTAGAACCACACTTCTTCTATTGCTTTTTGGATTTTGAGAGAGAGGCTTGTGTATCTTGATTTCAGGTTTGCTGTGTACCTGAGGCAGGTCTTAAACTCTTGATCATCCTACCTCTACCTTTCAGCTCATTATAGATGGTTGTGAGCCACCATGTGGTTGCTGAGAATTGAACTCAGGACCTTTGGAAGAGCAGACAGTGCACTTAACCTCTGAACCATTTATTTCTCCAGCACCCTCCACTCCCCCCCCCCAAAAAAAAAGGTTTTCAAAGTGGGTGTATTGGTGCATACCTTTAATTCCAGCACTAGAGAGGCAGAGGCAGATAGATCTCTTTTAAGCCAAGGCTATATAGTGAAAATGTGTGTTGTCAAAACAACAACAATGTAAGTAGCCAAAATGGACCTTAAATGTCTGGTCCCTCTGCTTCTAGTTCTCAAGTGCACAGATTCATGCCACCAAACCGAGCTTCTGTGTTGGAGTGGAAGGCAGGGCTTTGCATCTACTAGGCAAATATTCTACCACTGATCTATATTGTCAGAACTGCAATGTGTTCGTGTGTGTGTTGTATGAATTTGTCTGTATGCATATCCATCAGGCGCCGTCCACCTCATATTTAGAGTTGGGGATCTCTAATTGACCTGGAGCTCCCTAAGTAGACGAGACTGATGGCAAGTGAATCTGCCTGTCTCAGCCTCCCCAGTGTTGGGGTTACAAGTATGAACTATCATACCCAGCTTTTTTTTTTTTTCTTTTTCTTTTTTTCTTTTTTTTTTTTTTTAAGATTTATTTTACTATGTATACAATGTCCTGCCTGCATGTATACCTGAACGCCAGAAGAGGGCACCATATTCATTATACATGGTTGTGAGCCACCATGTGGTTGCTGGGAATTGAACTCAGGACCTCTGGAAGAGCAAGCAGTGCTCTTAACCTCTGAGCCATCTCCCCAGCCCCCATACCCAGCTTTTTTAAAAGTAATTTTAAAAGATTTATTTTTTTTATCTATGTGTATGTGTGTTTGCTTCCATGAGTGTTTGTACACTAAGTTCATGCAGGAGCCAGACTAGGACATCAGATCCCCTGAAACTGGAGTCACAGCTGCTGAACTGCTGTATGAGTGTGGGGAACTGAACTCAGGTCCTCAGGTCCTCTGTAACTGTGCTTAACCTCTGAGCAATCTCCCATAGACAGACAGTTTGATGATATATATGATAGATAAACAGATGATGTATAAAATCTGATAGATAACTATATAATATATATGATAGATGATAGGTGGATAAAAGAGACACAGACATAGATGGTAGATAGATAGATAGATGAGGGTAGTCCCAACTGGCCTCAAAGTCACTATGTAGGTTAGGCTGGCCTTGAATTTCTGACCTGCCTGCTTCCACCCACTGAGATGACAGGTGTGTGCCACACACTTGGCAAACATTTAAAAATTATATCCCTTCATGCATCCATCCATTATCTATAGACAGTTCTCACTGTGTGGCTCTGGCTGTCATGGAGCTTGCTGTTTTGACCAGGCTGGCTTCAAATACACAGATCCTCCTGCCTCTACCTCCCAAGTCTTGGGATTAAAGGTGTGCACCACCATGCCTAGCTAACATTTTTATTTAGTAATAAATAGTTGCTGGAGAGATGACTCAGCTGTTAAAATATTATATTCTATTATGTTTCCAGAGGACCTGAGTTCAATTTCCAGCACCCATGTTGGGCAATGAGCAACCCAAGACTACAGCTCCAGGATCAATCTGATGTTGCTGGATTTCATTTCCACCCACTTACAACACACACACACACACACACACACACACACACACACACACACACGGCTCAAAATAAATTTTAAAATTTTATATTAAAAATTCCCGGGGCTGGAGAGATGGCACATCAATTAAGAGCACTGGCTGCTCTTCCAGAGGGCCCTGCTTTGGTTCCCAGCACCTA